GCTGCTGCTGCTGCTGCTGCTGCTGCTGCTGCTGCTGCTGCTGCTGCTGCTGCTGCTGCTGCTGCTGCTGCTGCTGCTGCTGCTGCTGCTGCTGCTGCTGCTGCTGCTGCTGCTGCTGCTGCTGCTGCTGCTGCTGCTGCTGCTGCTGCTGCTGCTGCTGCTGCTGCTGCTGCTGCTCATCTCCCTCTCCTCCTCCAGCGGCTTCATCATCCTACCGCTCGCAGAGCCGCATGCTTCGACACGATCTCCGACTTCTCCTCCTCCAACTTCTTCCTCAGCTCGTCAACTTCCACCTGCACCCCAAGGTCACCTCATCTCTTCTTTCCTCCCACTCCCTCACAAACACCCTCCGCCACTCCTCCTCCTCCTCCTCCTCCTCTTCCTCCTCCTCCTCCCTTCCTCCACCTCTTTGTGCTGCACGCGTGCCGTCTCCTTTGCTGCCTCTTCCTGCAGCCCCATAAGTTCCAGCAATGTGCAAGAGGAGGACAAGGAGGAAGAGGAAGAGGAAGAGGAGGAAGAGGAAGAGGAAGAGGAAGAGGAAGAGGAAGAGGAAGAGGAGAGGAGGAAGAGGAGGAGGAGGAGAAGCAGCAGCAAGGGACCTGTGCTCTCCTGCTGCTCTCTGCGAGGTGTATGGACTCCAGCATCTGCTCCTCCACCTGCCAAGCAGCTGAGATCTCTCCTCCTCCTCCTCCTCCTCCTCCTCCTCCTCATCATCATCATCATCATCATCATCATCGTCATCGTCATCGTCATCATCATCTTCCTTTTCCTCACCTCCTGCTTCATCCCTGCGACCTCTCGAGCTCGCGTCTCCAGCTCCTCTGCCAGTACACGGACCTGTAGAGGAGGAGAAGAGAAGGAGGTCAAGGGAAGGGAGGGAGGAAGGAGACATGCATTGAGAGGGGCTGGTAGACTTGAGGAGGAGGAGGAGGAGGAGGAGGAGGAGATGAGCAGGAGCAGGAGCAGGAGCAGGAGCAGGAGCAGCAGGAGGACCTGCTGCATTTCTCGCTGGACTTTCGCGTTGCTCTCATGTGCATTCGCTCGCTCGAGACTGAGCGCATCCCATTCTGAGAGTAGGATTCAAGAAGAGAAGGGGGAGGGGAGGAGAGGACGAGACAAGGAAGGGGAGGAGAGGAGAGAGAAGGGAAGAGGAGGAGAGGAAGAGAGGAGGAGGTTGAAGGAGAAGGGGATACCGCTTCTGGCAGCGGCCTTCTCCTGCTGTATGGCCTCTCGATCGGCAATCTGCTTGATTCTCTCCTTCTCCATCTCCTCCTTCCTCCTCTCGATGTCTTGCTTGGCTGGCACGCTCGTCAGGCAACATCCTCATGCTCCTCCTGCTGCTCCTGCTCCCGCTCCTCCTCTTACCCTCTTCCTCTCTCCTCCTCAGCTCTTGCTCTTGCTGCATTAGAGTCGCACGCTGCAAGTGAAGTCACATACTCCCCCTCCCCCCCCCCCCCCCTCCTCTCTTCCTCTTCCTCCTCATCCTCTCCCTCTCTCTCACCTGGTCAGCAAGATTCTTTCTCTCCCTCGCGATGTCGAGAACGAAAGCTTCATGCTCCTTCTGCCGCGAGATGTTCTCTGACTCGATCCGCTGCACGCCAATCACATACAAGGGAGGAGAGGAGAGGGAGGGGAGGGGAGAGAGGATGAGAACGAGAGGGGAAGAGGAGAGAGGAGGGGAGGAGAGGGGAGGAGAGGACCTTGATTTCGGTTCCAAGGGATTCCTTCATGAGGGCTCGCTCAGACTCAAGGCTGAGAGTCAAAATCAGGTACAGAAAAAGCAGGAGCAGGAGCAGGAGCAGGAGCAGGAGCAGGAGCAGGAGCAGGAGCAGGAGCAGGAGCAGGAGCAGGAGCAGGAGCAGGACCAGCAGAGTCAGGAGGAGGAGGAGCAGGAGGGAGGGTAAGAGTGGGAGGAGGAGGAGGTGAACCTTCGCTGCATCCTCTCTAGCCTTGCATGCTCCTGCGTGAGCCGGATTCGCTCCTGCTCGAGGGAGGTTGTGGCCTGAAGGGAACATGATGGGAAGGAGGAGGAGAAGGAGAAGGGAGAAGCTGAGAGTCAGAGCAGATAAACAATTATGAACGGGCAGGGGAAGGGGATTAGAACGGGGCAGAGGAGAACGGGATGAAGATGAGCAGGAGCAGGAGCAGGAGCAGGAGCAGGAGCAGAAGAACAGGAACAGCAGGAGGAGAGCAGGTGAGCAAGAGCAGGGGCAAGGGCAGGAGCAGGAGCAGGAGCGGGAGCGGGAGCGGGAGCGGGAGCGGGAGCGGGAGCGGGAATCGAAAGAAGGAGCCGGATCGGGATCAGGAGCAGGAGCAGGAGCAGGCAGCAGCCAGCAAGAGCAGGAGGGAGATTCATGAGATGTGATCGATCATTTGCTCTATCGTGCTGTTGAGGGACAGAAGGTTCGATTTCTCGAGATCCAGCTGAGCAGCATCAGCATCAGCCTCAGCTCCTTCTCCAGCAGCAACACCAGAGAACCCCCTCCCAGCTCCATTCCCCCCTGCATCCCTTCCTTCTACTCCCTTCCTTCCTTGTGCAGCAGCAGCAGCAGCAGCTTCAGTCCCTTCAGCATCATCACAAGCAGAAAGAGCAAGAGCAGCAACGGAGTACATGAAGGGAGTCCAAGGCAAAACT